ATTTGCGCACACTCTTACGCACGTAAACGCATCCACACACGCATCTGTATCGCGACGATCGGGATGCACAGAGGGAGAGAGAGAGAGAGAGACGGAAGGAGGGACAGATAGTCGCGCGTATAGCCGGCCAGAGGCTACCAAAGATTATCCCTTCGGCAGCGGGCAAAACTCAATTTCCCGGCCAAAATCTAATGATCGGCCGCCCTACGCGCCAGGAATTAATCGGTTTTCCCGATGCCGCTAACCAGGCGCGCACGTGTATTGCCTGCGAAAAGCGCCGCGCGAAAACCGGCGCAGGTGAAGCCGCGTAGGACATCCTCAAAGGACTTAGCGGGAACGATGGATAAACGCTATCCGTAATCTGGGCGTCCATCCGGTAACATCTATGACCTAATGATCCTGTCTATGTGCGCAATCCGTGTTACGAAAGACGCTGATGCGTAATGCACAATCCACGTTATCGATAACGCAACGATGTTCGCCCCGGAGCGTATTCGCAACGATCTCGGCCGTTGGATGTAATTTGTAAAGGATCTCGCGGAATCGAGATACACGACTTTACGTCCATCGCAGACGCGTTAGAAAGGGGGAGGGGGTCGCATCCGCACGGGGGAGCATCGCCGATGATAGCGGTGCTTGAAAAAAGGAGCACGTCCTACCGGTGAAATTGACCGGACAATTTTAAAGCCCACTTAATACTGCGAAAAATTGCCGTTTCGTCGGCGCATGAATAAAAATTAAGGCTTCTGCCGCGACTTACACCCTCTCGCTTCTGCGCGCAGAACGGTTTGGAAATGAGTCTGCATATCCGTATTTACGAGGTGCCGTCGTGAAAGAAGGAAAAGAACGGGTGCTCCTGAATTCCGACTCCGAGTCCTTCGCTCGCTTCCTCGATGGCCTGTTCCGGGTCCGCGCGTTTTTCCGTCCCTCTCGCACTTTTAATTCGCTAATTTCGCCCGGTTAAGAATTCATGCGGCGGAATGCCTCTCGGGCGGACGTCTCGAGAAAAATCAAAGCGACGAGGAAACGGCATTGCTGGTCGGGGGACAGACGCGCCGCGGAAAAGAGCGACGCCGCTGGTCCCTTTATCACACAAATGGCACGGAATGAAAAATTAAGCAACAGTACGCGGCATTGCTTTGAGAAATAAAAATAACGAGCGCGAATGGCGGAGAAAACGACAAGTCGGGAAACGAGTTTCGGATCGATCCTCTTTTTTTCGCCGATTTTACGCAAAATTTAACGTTTTGAAATTAATGATAAAATATTCATATTTCGAGCATATTCTAAGCCCGGAAATTGATTAATTTTCGTTGATTAATATAACGCAGGCTAATCAACCAGCCGACCTATAGCCCTGCTATGAATGTTTTAACAGAACGAGCGTTAGTTCTAATACCAGCCTGCATATAGCGCGGCGTACTCGTAAATTACTCGTACGCCAGAATTCATGCATTCATGCAATTTTGCGAGCGATGTAACCGGCCTACGTTTAGTAATTAACACACTCAACTTGCAGCTTTACCGTGGCAACTTAAAAACACACGATTATATTGATAGACGCCGAAATTTGCTGTAACATTGCAATTTTTCTTCTTATTTAAATGACTACATAAATTTCCATCACGCTAAAATCCAATATGTCATTTAAATTATTCGAATTAAAATAATTATTGCAAAATATCGTTTAAAAATTATTATTTGAAAAATAACCTTTTAATACATAATGTTTTAAAAGCTCTTATAATTTTCTACTTCCCAATTAAGAGTAAATCCGCTTTGCATTTTTTGTCGCGATCGGATACATTTCATTCGCAGCCGTTAAAATACCGCTAAACCACGGTGAGAAAAGATGGGGCAGAAAAGAAAAGTGATTAAGCCGGAAAGAACGCCGTATGGTCCGCGGCCGAAAAAAAATGAACGT